GGAAAGGTCTGCTTCCTGCCTCTGCTTCCTTTCTGGGTCGCACAAAACTACATCTCCTGGTTTGCTCATTCCATTTTCTCTCACAGCCTGCAACCAACCCCTTGCCCACTGCCTTTGGAATCTCTAGGGAAAGCCCCATAGTGCCACATCACACTCTGGGCCACAGTTCTAACGAGATGGCTGGAGACACTTGCCTCACGATATTCCTTCAAGTCCCCTCTGGGTGGTTATCTCAGTGGCTAATCACAAGTGGCCATTGGTCACTTTTACAACAGTGACAAACAGGACGAGGGATGAAGTTTGAAGCTGTATGCCTGAAAAACTTGTTCCCTTGTATATATTTGGGGCAGAGGGGAAGGGAGTAAAGTGGAATGAAGGGAGAAGATATTGCAGCTTAAGGAAAAGAAGGTGGTAAGAAAGAAATTATAGGCCTTGTCCATGCAGAAAAGTTTTACTGTTTGAAACATGGTCTTGTAATTTTTTTCCGCAAGTGACAGCCTCTGCCTGGGGCTGGAGCTTGTCTCACCATGAGACAAAAAACTCTGGAAGGGGGAGAGAGGAACCTGCTGCAGCCTCCACCCTCCAGGCCTGGGAGCAGGGTGAAGAGCCCAGGAGGTGCAGAGGTGAGGCTGGGGGGCTGAACTGAGGGGGGCTGGAGCAGCTTGGGGGCACTGAACCAATGGAGATGGAGTCTGGGGGGACTGAACTGATTGGGGGGCAAGGGCTGGAATGATGAGGTACGGGGACAGGAGTGATTTGGAGGTTGGGGACAGAATTAGTTGTTGGACAGGGGGAAGGCAGATGGGGGTTCAGAACTCCTGTAATAGGGGCCAAAATTACCTGACCCAAAACATTTGGGAGAATGGGCAGCACTAATTGTTACACACAGTGGGGATGGGCAGGGGAATTTAAAAACCAAAAGACAGACCAAAAACCCCACAACATAATCTTTTTTTAAAAAAAATTGTGACGGGGGGGTCAATCTCATGATGTGGGGGGGCTGACGTATGGTTTTTGAGTTGGCAATACTGTATAAGGCTCCTTTATACTGGTTTAACTGAACCCACATTTGGGAATGCACTTGTATAACTAGTTCAGTAGAAATACCCCAGCCCACAAGGATGTGCTAGTAAACTGTGTGTAGACCAGGCTGTTGTGCATTTGTTTTGTGCCAGCAATCATATGCTGCCTTGAACGTGATTCACTTTCAGATTTAAACAATATCTTATGCAGCTCTTTTAGGCCTTCATAAAAGCACAGAACTTGCTTCGCTCACTGACATGAAGACTCCGCCCTACGATTCATTTTCATGTTTAAAAACAAACGAACGGATGGTGACCTGGAGAAATGCGTGATGAATAGCTTGCCTGGCACGTGAGCTGCCATCTGTGCTTGCCAACTGTTATGTAATGTAAGACACCACCAGTGATTACAGAGGAGGTAAAGGTCTTGTCTACACTAGGAAATTTCACAGAAAATCCCCACTGGTGTTAGCACCTCTGCTAGCTGCACGAGTGTACTAGCCCTGCTGCATCCAAAGTGTCAACACTTTTCACACCACATCAATGAGGTCATAAACCCACCAGAAGCCATGAGAGCTTTGAATACAGTAGGTGGAAATCTTTTGCCAGATTTCCCTAGCATAGACACAGCTCTAGGCTATAATCCACCAAGCACTGACTTCAGTGGGACCAGTCTCATGTTTGTTTGCAGTATGGGTGCCACAGAAATTTGTACTGAAATCCTGGCTTCACTGAAATCACTGAGAGTTTTGCCACTGACTTCAGTGGGGCCAGGATTTCACTCCAGATGAAGCCATTGATAGCTTGAATACTAGTATAAAATCCACTGGATTTTAGTTTTCCTTTTGAGTGGCTGTGATTGTCTCTAACTGCCTATATTCATTCAGTGCACAAAGTTACTTTAATAGCTCTGCAGTGTGATCATTTATAGCATTCACTGCAACTGTTTTATGAATTTCCTCTATCATTCTAGGAAATAGTAAACCCATTGTTGTTAAACCAAGATCTACTTCCAAATCATGTTTTAAAAAAACCCGACATAGATACAAGGGATTTTAGATACTCTTTATATCAAGAATTTATAAACCCAGGTGCTGTAATGCCCTTTAAATGGGTAGATATTCGTTTTTAAATCGTTCCATGTGCTTCATTTCCGTGTTACATAGTTACACTAATACTGTGGATTTAAAAAGGCAAATCTAGTGGTGTTACAAAATGAATTTAGGTAAAGGAAATAAACTTCAGTTCCGAGCGGGCGCGGTGGGCAGGCGCGGGGATGGAGGACGGGTTCGGCTCTGAGTTCGGGGCCGCGGGGGGCGGCGCGGGGGGGAAGCTGGACCCGGGGCTCATCATGGACCAGGTGAAGGTGCAGATCGCCGTGGCCAACGCACAGGAGCTGCTGCAGAGGATGACCGACAAGTGTTTCCGGAAGTGCATCGGGAAGCCGGGGAGCTCGCTGGATAACTCGGAGCAGAAGTGTATTGCCATGTGTATGGACCGGTACATGGACGCCTGGAACACAGACTATGTCTTCACTACCCGCCGATCCGGCGGGTAGCAATCGGTCTATCGGGGATCGACTTACCGCGTCTAGTGAAGACGCGGTAAAATCGATCCCTGATCGCTCTGCCGTCGACTCCGGAAATCCACCTCGGCAAGAGGCGGCAGCGGAGTCGGCGGCAGCGGTCGACTTTCCCGCGTCCTCACCGCCAGGTAAGCCGACCTAAAATACACAACTTCAGCTGCGGTATTCACGTAGCTGAAGTTGCGTATCTTAGGTCGGACCCCGGCTGTAGTGTAGACCCAGCCTTAGTCTCACGAGCATACAACTCCCGGCTGCAGAGGGAGAGAGCCAACATGTGACCGGTTTCCAGTAGCCCTGACAACATGCTTCAATACTGCCCCCTGCCTGGGGAGAGTGACTTGATTCCTGGACTAGCTGGAGTGGCCCTGTGAGAATGAAAGGAAATAAACTAAGTAACTATTCCTTTCTTAGATACATTTTCACAGTTTCTATCTCTTCCCTCCACCCCCATTAAAGACATTTCTTTATTTACAGTGACTAGCTATTATCCTCAGTACCTTTCCTAGCTGATCTACCTACTAGACTGTATGTAATCTTCTGTTTTGTGACGCCTTACCATTCCTAGAGTAGCAGGACAGGAATGGTTTTGCAGTCAATGCAGATCTGCCACGCTTCCTGTGTGACCTTGGGCAAATCTCTGTAACTCAGTTTACCATCTATTAAATGGGAAAATAATACTTCCTTTTTCTGTCTGGTCTGCATTGATTATAAACGCCTTGGAACAAGAACTGTCTCTTACTAGGTCTGTAAGTGGTTAGCACAATAGAGTACTGATCTTAATTGGGAGCCTATAGGTGCTACTATTATGGAAAGGAGTATTCCAACCAGTGGGCTGGGAAGAGAGCTTGTGTTTATAATACATTGACAACATTTGTTAAGCATGCTGAATGTACAAAAGACAACTACAAAACTAATCTAGGTTGGATCTGAAAGTCAGAGTGGTATTTACTGCATTTTATTTTACCAACATAAATGTTATAGTGCTTCACAAAGCATATTGAAAACAACTCTATAAAGGTAAAAGAAATGAAAAGGGAAAGTAAGGAAAGGGCAAGCAAATGAACTATTCAAGAGACAATGGACATAAAAGGTGACTAAAACATGTCTGAAATGTGAGTGAAATCAGTACATAATTTCCAGACTTTAGGTAAAGTGTCTGGATAGACTTAAAATCATAGAAATATAAGACTGGAGGGGACCTCAAGAGCTCATCTAGTCCAGACCTCTGCACTGCATGGACTTAGACCATGGAGGTGGGGGCGGGGGGAGAAGCACAGAAGCTCCTTATGAATAGGGATGAGGATGCGGAGGAATAGGAGAGGGAGTGATGGGAGTATGCCGATTCAGCAATGGGCGGGGGACAGCCAGCTCTAGGCTAGGAAGGAGGGTCTCAGAGGGTTCCTGCCTGACCCTGGGCTCCATTCCAGCTTCCCAGGATCCTAATCCCTAGCCTGATCCCGGCACTGTGGCCATTCCTTCAGCCCCTCTGGGTCCTGCTGTTGTCTCCATAACCCCTCCCTCCCACTTGGCATGTGGGAGTTTACACAGGGAAGAGCCCCCACACTATTTCCATTGCAGGGTGCTAGCCCATCCCCATTTCCATGACCCCTGACTGGTGTTTCTCACCTGTTCTTAAAACTCTCTAATACTGGTGATTCCACAATCTCCCTTGGAAACCTATGCCAGTGCTTAACTATCCTTATAGTTTGAAAGTTAGAAATCTCCCTTGCTGCAGATTTAAGCCCATTACTTCTTGTTCTACCTTTGGTGGACATGAATAACAATTGATCACTGTTCTCCTTATAACAGTCCTTAACATATTTGAAGACTCTGATCAGGTCTCCCCTCAGTCATCTTTTCTCAAGACTAAAAATACCCACTTTTTTTTAACCTGTCCCTATAGATTAGGTTTTCTAAACCTTTTATCATTTTGTTGCTCTCCTCTGGAATCTTTCCAATTTGTCCACATCTTTCCTAAACTGCGGTGCCCAGAAATGGACACAGTGCTCCAGCTGAGGCCTCACCATTGCCGAGTAGAACAGGACAATTGCCTCCTGTGTCTTACATATAACACTCCTGTTAATACACCCCAGAATGCTGTTAGCCTTTTGCACAACTGCATCATCTTGCTGGTTCATGCTCCATTTGTGATCCACTTGATGACAGAGTGAAAGTTATAGGGGAAGTATCTTTTCAACATTGATTTGACCATGGATCATAAAGCATTTTTACCAGAGCATCCACTATCTTCTTTACCTGTTAATTATAGAAACCTACAAGTTTGAGAAGAAGAAACCTATTAAGTCATCCAGTCCATCCCCCGACACAGCAGGTTGCTTCCTACAGGATACTATATTGTTTGGAGCCCTGTCCAATCTAATTTTAAATATTTCCAAGCAGTAGAGCTTCCCTCATCTCCCTTGGGAGACTATTGCAGTCTAATAGATCTTGCTATTAGAAGCTTTCCTGAGCATATACGTTTCTCTTAATTTCTAGACACCTTAACTTAAAATAAATGATTGCTTCAAGGATTTTCATTCTCATTGTGTACACATATTCAACATCTGCTGGAACTGTGAGTAAAACTGCCAGAATCAAGGTCAGAAACTTACATTCTTCACTTGAGATCAGTCTTACCAGGCTGAGGTGGGGCAAAAATACTTCCCCCCCCCAATGGAACGTGTTGTTGTCTTAGAGATCTATCTATTGCCAAGAACTAAATCCATTCAAAAATCCATAAAAATGGATTGACTGAATTACAGAATGTGGAATGAGTTACATGAAAACAATATATGGCAGATTTGCGAGATATTTTCTGTACAATATGTAAGAGTAAATCTCCACAAACATGTTTATATAATTTTGCATTATTAAACAGTCACCGTTTGCTTACAGGTTTGATATTTTATGGTGTTGTTTATTCATTTTTTGTGTACCTTGTTTTGTTGTTACAGGCCCTATTTGGGGCACTTGTGTAGAACAAGAATTATGCAACCATTACCTCAAGGTATTGCTATGGGGTTGCTGAGGTTGCTAAGATAACTCACTATTTTTGAATAGTTGCTTTTCCTTTAAGTTTAACTTTAAAGTTCTTGTTGTGGGGTGTATAGGCCCCATGCTACTCTGGCCACTATGGTTATGTTTACACTACAACTAAACCCTGCAGCTGGCCAGTATTAGCTGACTGGGGCTCAGGCTGTGTGGCTGTAAAATTGCAGTGTAGATGTTTTGGGCTCAGGCTGTAGCCTGCGCTCTGGGACCCCATGAGGTGGAGGTCTACTATACTGTGGTATGTCTACACTGCACACAGAGCCTGTCTCTGTGGAACCTGGGCTTGTGGAGTCAGTTTTTTCAAGCCTGTGCTTGAACGTCTACATTGCATTGTAAACCTGGGTTTACTTGCTGGACCCAAGTCTCACAGTCGTGCTAACATGACCATACTGAACTGCACAGACCTTTTGATTTGGATCTGCAGCTTGACCACATCCACACTGTAAAATGACAGGGCTTGGCTCCTAGTCACTGCAGGGTACTAAGCCTGCATCCTGAGTGCTTGCTGATCTGACTCAGACTGATTTTTGTGTTGATGGAAGAGGGGCTGGGACTCAAATCTGAGCCAATGCCTGGGCTTAGTGTGCAGTGTAGCCATACCCTAAGGAGTGAACAGGGATACTAGCTATCTCCTCTGCTGGAGCTAATTGCTGGACTTGTAACAGCTGAGGGAATGAAAAAAGCTGCAGAACAGAGGACAGGCAGGGCTGCCAGAGAGACTACAGAGAGGTGACTCCTTCAGCAACAGACTGGCAAGAAGCAGCCCAGGAAGTTGGACTTCAAGTGGGAGAATCAGAATGTGAGTCTGGGAAAAGCCTACAGGAGAAGGAAGGTAGAAAGCAGCTCAGGGAAGTGGAAAGGGATTGGGAGGAACTGGTTCATACAGGGGTCCCTGGGCTGGAACCCAGAGGAGGGGGGGCTGGTTTTTCCTACAGGAAAGAGGACAGTAAAGACTTCAGAAGAAAGGGGTCAAAGGACTGTCAAACCTTTGCGGGGGGTCACCATTTTCAGAAGACAGGAAACCAGGCACAGAACTGAATGATTGTTGGTGGGAAACTGAGTCAGACTTGCTGCAATACCACACATGGCTGTGAGAGGGCAGCAGCTGGGCAAGGCAGCCCAGGACATTGCCGTTCAGCTCCGAAAAGTGACTGGAAAAATGGTACTTTCTTATTCAATAGATCTGCCCCCTGTGTGCTTTCGCTCATATCTGCTTATTTTACTGAAAAAATAAGGTTTTTTTGGTCTGCTTTTGCCACACTGATGGGTACAGTATAAAAATGTAGACGGATAAACCTGCAGAGCAAATGCTGCTAAGAGAGCGAGCTAGATTTGTGTGCATCAGCAACAGAATTGTTGACTCAATTCCAAACATTACACCTGTGCAAACCCACAGATGGGAGTGGTGTTGCACAGGTGTCACTGAGGGAACAATTTCAAGACAATGGAGTAACCTGGGTGTCACTGAGTGGGAAAACGTGGCCTCCAGGTCTTTTTCCACTGGGGAGATGTGCAAATAGAAAAGAGTTCAGCTTGTTTCTAAGATGGCTGATTGATTTTGCAGAGTTTGTGGTAGTACTAGAGTGGCATGAGAAATTGTAACAAGCCTGCAATTAAACACAAAAAGCCTTAGGCCTTGTCTACACGTACAATTTGTATCACAATAACAGCCTTCTAGTGTGGATGCAGTTATACTAAAATAAAGGCACTTTTAAAAATAGCTTATTCTCACATGGGAAGGGGAATAAACTACACAGGTATTAGGCACCTTTATATTGGTTTAATTGCATACATATTAAGGTTGTATTGGTATAACTATTTCAGTAAAAATCCCACACTCCTGACATAATTACATCAGTACATATCTGCGTGTAGTCCAGGCCTCAGTTATTGATATTCAGTGATGCAGTACAAGGAAACTCCATTTGGGGTTTCTGGCAACAGGGCACTGCTGCAAGATTCTAATAATGGGATACAGTGTTACCAGAACTCTTCAGAATGAGATTGTAGTTATGTTCTTATTTTGTTGTAAATGCCATTTTGCTAGGAATGTGGTTGAGCTTGAATGTTGCTGACAGAAGTAATTGTCTCTTTGTTTGTTTTGTTAGTTAGTTGGCAGCGGGAATTCTAAGTGTTCTTTTGAAACAATCTCTTTCCTATCCTAACAATAACTGCAGACTGAGGCAGCTGCTGAAAATAACATGCAGTCTTTCACTGCAGGGGTTTCCAGGAGCTTTGCATTCCAATACATTATTTCCTACCATGAGCAACTCTGAGAACTCGCTGAAAAGT